GAATCAGAACCAGAACCAAAGGAGTCCAATATCCAGAGAACCCTCAACAGTGAACCCTAGACCTGAAACTTGTTCTAACCATGCACCTGCAGTTTGAGGAATAATTGAAGAATGCCCTGGACCTGAAGGGGCAGAATCCAGTGACGGCAAGCCACCTGAAACGCCAGTCCAGGGATTTTTATATCCTGCAGTAGCACTATCAATAGACCCTAAAATCCCAGACTAAGCTTCCCGAAAAGACACAGCAACCCCATTAGACCAAGATCAGAAGGTGAGTAAGAAAAATAGGAAGAGTAATCATGTATACATCTATGCGTCTTGCTTTCCCACTTCCCTCTTTCCAACCTTCAATTACTTTCCAATCTTCAACAACAACGAACCCTAAATCCCTAAATTTATAAAATCAGTGATGGGAGCTTTTAAAAGGGGTCAAAAACCCCAATTTTTAAATTCATTGTTTAAGAAAATGCAACATACAAGGGTATACATAATAAAACCCACTTATAAGGTTCTGTGCATGCCATGTCACGAAATTTATCCACCTCACCCTCACAGGTAAACAAAAAGTTAACACAGTCAACTTGATTTAACGACAGGGGTCCAATTCTTTCAATTTTTCAATATTAAGGACCTAATTGGCAAAACTTAAAAAACGGAAATGTAACTGGGACAAAACCAAGAAAATAAGGATCTCTGAATGGATTTAACCTTAAAAAAATTATTGATAAATGTAAACTTTAACTTAAGGTTACTATTATTAAATAATCAATATTTTTGGTCTTGTGACCCATTGAGTGGGTTACACATAGGAACGTGCGATAATGCGTTTGAGAAAGCAACCACAATTGCCGTCCAATGTATTCCTGTTCGTAGAACTTGGATCTCACATATTCACACACTATGCACAATATTCAACCATTTTTTTTCTTGTTATTCCATCACTACTGGCTAAACAATCATACCACATTATGCCTTTAGTTGCTATAAAATAAGCCAGTTTTTCTACTTTTATCTTTGTTTGAGATAAATTGCGGATTCTAAAAGTAATGACAAATAATTTTATTTTTAAAATATTTCTGAAATTATATAAATTTCTTATTTCCTATACAATATTATTACACTTATGTCTATATATAAGAACTATTTGATCATTTGTTAGTAATATATTACATATTGATATTCAAGTCTTTTTTAGTTTTTTATACATATCTGCATTTAAAAAGTAACAAAATCTATTTCTTTCAACATAACCTTTTATAATATGTTGTTAAGATTAATTTAATAATTTTCAAAATAGACTTGTGAGGAGTTATCTGAATTCCCTTGTAGACATGTTTTGTAGATGTGACCTTTTCTTTTTAAATATAAGGTTTGGGTGAATAAACATAAAAACTTACGAAAAAAAAAAGAAAAAAAATGAATTAATTTTTTAAATTAATGTATGCACAAGCTATTTTGTAAATGGTCTCCTATATATGAACTCTTCAAACTTTTATTTTCAACTTAAATATAAATTAATTTTTTTCATTTTTTTCATATAAGTAATTTTCATGAATATTATTGTTCATCCAAATTGATAATTTATTTTTTCTATTACACTAAATAAATTATATCTACAAATAAAGAGCTCTTATATATACAACTTTTAATTTTAGGGTTAAATATGCTTTTAGTCCCTTAACTATTAAGCGATTTTAGATTTAGTCCCTCTTTCAAACTTTGGTATACTTTGATCCTTATCCTTAAGGAAACTATAAATTTTCGTCCTCCAAAACCAACACTGTTAAAATTAGGCTGAGTTGGCTAATGTTTGACCAATGATATGTTTCATTTGTAAAATTTGCCACATTGGTTGGTGTTTTTCAATGCAAACGTTAGTGTCTCTTTCTTCGATCTGGTGCGCTGCAGCTTCAATCCCAGAATGACGTTAGTTGTCTTTCTTCTTCCTTGGGCAAAATCGGGGTCATCCGCTCTTCTTTCTCCATGAGAACAACAGCACTCACCGAGCCAGCACCCATCGAGCCAGCACCCCTTTCAGTTAGCCAAAGGCGCTGCCGACAACATTGCTCGTCGACACACAGTGACGCTGGCGATTGCGAAAGCCCTCCTTTTACGTATTCTCTTCGTGCGCGAAAGAGAAACACACTCACTCAATGGGACGCGTTCTCCCGGCCACCGACGAGGCCAGCTGCCGCTAGTGCCTCTAATAGAAGAACCTGCGCCCTTCACGGCAGACCGACCTCTCCCAGTCGCGAACCCTAAAGCCTAGGCACCCCAACCACCGCTAGCCAAAGACACCGCCGATGACACTAAAGACGCATGACCTTTACTCTCCCAACTAAGCAGGCTACCACGACGATCCTTCTGCTTAGCCCAAGGGGTCACCAGCGACACCGATCGTCACCGCTGACAAAGGTTCCGTCAACACCTTCGTCTTGTGTTTTAGGGTGTTGGGATGAGTTGGTGTGATGGTGATTGATGGTGTTTGTTTTCATCTTGTGCTGATAGATTTGTTTGTTAATTTATTTTTTCAAACCTCTAGAATTGGTTCTAAAGTAAAGTTGGAGTCATGATGAATATACGTGTGCCTCTTTTTTCACTTTCCTTTTTTGCTTTTTGATTTTTGATATTTGAGATTTTGTGATTTGATTCGGTTTGGTTGTTGGATTTAGTGACGAAATGCAAGTAGGTTGAGGTTGCATTGTCGCTTTTTGGAGAGAACAAAAATGGGTTTGACATTGTTTTGAGCGATGTGCATATGCCAGACATGGATGGATTCAAGCTTCTAGAGCATATTGGGTTGGAGATGGACCTTTCGGTTATTAGTAAGCATCGTTTTGATTGGTTTATGACTATTGAGAGACATTGCATTGATATGTAGTAACAAACTTTGTGTGAATGATTTTTACAGTGATGTTTGCTGATGATGGAAAAAGTGTTGTGTTGAAAGGGGTGACACACGGTGCCTATGATTATCTGATTAAACCTGTGAGAATTGAGGCTTTGAAGAACATATGGCAACATGTGATTCGAAAGAGAGAGAATGGGTTGAAAGATGCAGAACAATCGGGTAGTGTGGAAGAAGGAGATCGACTTCAAAAAGGGTATGACAATGGAGATTAAAGGGATGATTCCTCCACGTTGAAGAAGCCACGAGTTGTTTGGTCAGTTGAGCTTCATTAGCAGTTTCCGACGACACCGTACGTCGCCAGGATCATCGCTGGCCACCGTGAGACCTCTCCTTTCCTGGCTTCTCTTTGCACGCGAGAGGGAGACACACTTCTCCTCCGTCTCAAGGTTTTAATGGTCTGATGGTGATTAAGATAATAGAGGTTTGAGCTGATGAATACCAACATGGCACAATTACCACAAAATATGTCATCAAACGTTAGCCAGCTCAGCCTAATTTCAACAACGTTAGTTTTGGAGGACAAAATATTACAGTTTCTTTAAAAACAAGGATCAAAGTGTACCAAAGTTTGAAAGAGGGACTAAATCTAAAATCGCTTGATAGTTGGGAGACTAAAAACATATTTAACACTTAATTTTAACATAATAAAATAATTTTTTATATACAAAATATTGTTTAAAACATGTTACCGCTAACTTTTTTTTTCTTCCTCTCCATTAAAAAATCTAATAATGCAAGAATACCTCTAAACTACACCCTCAGCCATTGTATTCCGTGTGTATGAATGTTGAACATTACACATGTGGGTCATATACATGTGCACTTAGTCAATTAAATTTGTACCAAATTTGTGGTTCAATGTTTAATGTGGAATTCAAATTAGTTCTTGATGTTCATAATGTGAGAACTAGCTTGACCCATAAACATAAATTTAGTCTACAAACTTGTCATTGTACATGTATTTCGTAAATTAATTTAGTTCATTATATAAAAGGTAATTTGATATTAAAAAAATTCATAATACATATTCAAATTAATTTCTGCTAATGTTGTTATTTATGAAGAACTATTTTTTTTCTATTTAATCTTCTATCATTCGCGTGTTTAGATTTACCTATATTAAATTAAATCAAATGTAAATTAAATATTTATATTCAAGCTCAAACTATATATATAAATATTCAAGGAGTGTGTACATCACTTAAAGAAACTTGAAAAAGGAAAAAAAACTTAGAAGCCATACCTACCTAGATATGTTTCTAAACTGGAGCACGTCATTATGGTAAAACGTTAAAGCATACACACTCTAACCACTAGAGTCAACCCTAGAATTTAAAGATTTTAATGCATAAGGATAATTGTCTTCCCAAAAATAATTGTAATGGTGTATTAAAAAAGTAATTAAAACAGAAGATAATAAATCCTGCTTAATTTTTTAGGTAATTCTAACTACTTTTAGGTAACTCAAAGGCTGCGTATTTAATAACTAATAGTACTTATTGAATAATTGTTTTCCTAAGTTTGGAATTTCATTGTAGCAGACAAAGTGTTTCCAAATTACTCAAATTTTAATTTACGAAAATTGAGTGTAATAGTGCTGGGCCAGCTTGATACCTTTTTTATTGTTTTTTGGGCCAATTACGCAACAACCACAGCTTTAGTTGACCTTTTCTTTCTGCACACTCAGAATTTCTTACTGCACCTCCATAATTTTTAAAATATCCATTGTGAAAGTGACGTTCGGTTTGTTTGTTCCATAAATCTTCTATAATACATATAATGCAATTTGAAACAAGTTTTTTATTTTGTCAAGTTCTCTCTTTTTTTCTCTTTCTCTACAGTGCCAAATTGGGGTGAACAGTTAGTGTGCGGGTGCATTTAGTAATAATGTGATACGGGAAGAAAAGACCCATTAACGTAATACGTTGGCCCAAACAATGTTCCAATGTTCTACCAAAAAGAAAAGAAATGCTATATTTTTACGAGCATGAAAATGTGTTCACAGAAAAGAATAACCTCAAGTGCACATCATCGTTTTCCTTTCCTTGAATCAAAGGAAAGGGATATGAGTGAAATAAAATTATTAAAATTATTAAAATAACACCTTCCCGTATACAATAGAATAAACACGTACACGGGGTATACGTAATTAACATCCTCAAAGAGAAAAAAAAATAATTAAAAAACTGGTTTCATTTACACAGACTCATCAAATGCATTAAACTTAATGGAGCTCTTAGTGGGATTAATCAACTTTGATAATGGTTAGGACTAGAATCCATTCCATAAACTAAGAACCGAAAACAGAGTTATCATTACGATGCACCACCTTCCGATCAACGATTTCAACCCTTGTGATCCACTGCAGTGAAGCTTGTTGCTATGGTACGTGCATACCTGTCGTTTCCTGAACTCCAAAAACAAACTTACTAATTAAATAAAAATGTAAAAAATAATTTTATATTTATTAAAAGAGAATGAATTGGTCTTATTATCGATAAAAAATAATTTAAATTGATATTTAGATTGACAGCTTTATAAAATTTGAATTGATAAAGAGAAAAAAAGATTTGAATGAAGAAACCTGGAGGAGCAGAAGGCTATGACATAATCAGTTCCTGAACAAGTGAAGATGCTGGTTGGATCATCGTAGGCATAACTGTAAGAAGTGGGACAAGCTTCCTTAAACTTCTTCGAATAAAATGTGGGTTTGCAAGTCGAGGGGTTCCCAAAATTCCCTCTGCAGCAATACTCGTCCGTGTTAAACACGTCACACGCGCTACGGCACCCAACCGTCTTCCCGTTAGCCTTAACGGACAGTTCGTTAGGGCAAGTAGCTCTGAGGTCGGAGTCGCACCCCGCGGAAGAGCAGTTTCCCTTTCCGTTAATGGGCCTAATGGAGATGGGGACGTTGAAGCCGTCCACGAGGCTAACGTCGTAGAAGTCGGGTTGCGCGAGTGTGAATTCCGCGAGTGAAGCGGGAGTTTTTCCCGAGGCCGAACATTTCAGCGTGGTGCCGCATGAACCGGTTTGGCACTGGCCGTTTCCGTTCTGGTCGAATCTGCAACCGGTTCGAGCCCAAATGCGCCCGCTCCAACTGACCGGGGCGGTGAATACCTCGGATTGGCCCGGTTTGAGGACGAAACCGCCGCCGTTGAATTTTTCTCCCGGCATCACCGCCGGCCACAGTGTCTCCTTGCAGTAGTTGACGATGGTGAAAACTCTGGCGCTCTCGCATGGTTTTTGCCCTGGTGATCCAAGGAACACGAGTTTCAAGGTTTCATATATATATATATATATATATATATATATATATATATATAAGAAAAAAATTGTTTCAAAAACAAAATGTTTGTGTTTTTCCATGAAAAATATACATACAAAAACTAGTAAATATTAACTTGATTGCACCAAACTAAAAATTTACAACATATTGCAGAGTTTAAATTTTTGTGTAAGATTTTACATCATTAATTAATTAGAAGTAGAATATATATATATATAACTTTTATTTTTGTAAATGTAATTATATTTATTATAATGATATTTATTGTAAACGTTGATGGTGGTAAAGAATCCTTATGGACTTTCATCAATCAAAATAAAGTATTATTCTTGTATCCTCTTTTTCCCATTTTGGAGGAGAACAAAGTTGAAGAAACATAAGAAGAAAAGAGATAAAAAAGATGAAAAAAATTTGCAAAACTATTCTATGGGCAATAGCAAGAGGGCCAGTGAAGATTTTTGGCATGACCAATATATGAAAAAAATGAGTGTGGTAGCCATTGTTACCTGATAAAAGTATTGCAAGAAGGAAAGTGATTGGAAAGATGGTTTGAGGATGAAACGCCATGTTAGTAATTTGTGTGTGAAGGGGTTAAGCAAGGTGATGATGATATGTGATTAGGAGATGTGAATATAAAAGAATGGTGGAAAAAGAATACGTGCGGAAAGAAGGAATGTGAATCAAATTAAGCAACAAAAGGCATGCATATTGTGAAAACAATGCATTATTCTTTTCCAAATACATAGCTGCAAGTTTTTGCCTAATTGCATGGCGGCAAGTTTATCAAGGTTCTATACAACATCCTTCCAACACTTCCACACATCACAACACATAACCCCTGCTCTTACACGTGCCAATAACCCTCTCCCTCTAAAATGAATCAAGCTATTCTAAAATTTCTACTTTTTTATCTTCTATAAATCTAGTAAGTTCTTATAAAGATTACATTAGAAAGAGTGAAGTAACTTTACTTTTGAAATAACTTCTTATAAATGAAGAAGGGAATTATGACATAACAAATTTTAACTTTATATTTGATTTTTAGATACAATTACGCTTTTAATATTGTAAATGTGTCACTTTCCTCTCAACTTTTTGTTTGTGTTATTTAAAATATTTTGAACCTTAACACTATTACAATGTTTGAATTTTTCTACAAATAACCAACCTTTCATTAAAACTTGTCAATTTGGTTTCATTACATAGTTTGGTTCTGACCCATATAGGTTGGGGTCAGAAAACTTTAGAGGACAAAAAAGTTTATGGAGTGAAAATATCTACAAAAGTAATGTGAGTTAGGGTTAGTCTATGAGTTTTCCTTTTAGAAAAAGAATATTCATTTTGAATATAAAAAATGTAATTAACTCTTGTCATAAATTTAAGTACTTTTAATATGTCAAAAAACTATATCCAAACATTTTAATCAAGACTAACATAGATTTTGTAAGAAATTTCAATAAACTTGCTTACTTATATAAAAAAATTATGCATCAACATAGGATGTTAAAATTTTTGACTGACTAAATATATTTAATTCTCCTTTGATTGACTAAACATATTTTTAAAATATATAAAAAAATAATTTAATTTTATTGTGCGAAAAATTCATCTAGATCTCACTCAAAACTAAATACCAAATTTCAATTTGAAAGTTTAAAATAATAAATTTATAGATAATAAGTTTATGATTTTTATTTATTATATGTTGTTTATTTATTTTTCCTTTTTTTAATATATGACTTAGATATTTATATATATATTTAGTAATTATTAAAAAAATTTAGTGTGAATTTTATTAAAATTAATCAAATATTATCACATTTTGGCTAGACTCCATGTTCTTATGTCATGTTTGAAACTTTATCACAATAAATTATGAAATAAGTTTTCTTTTTTAAAAAATTGATAAAATTAATAAATAGATTATAGTAAATAACTATATTAAATTATATATTATATATTTTATTTAATAACATGATAATAAGTATTATATAAAAATATTGATTTAAATATGATTAAATTACAACATATTAGACTATTTTATAAAGTATATAATTTTATATGTTTACATAAATAATATTATTTTTAAGATTTAATTAAAGTCTTGTAGTATGACCAAATCCACCTTAACCCTAACCCTAACTCATTTGAGAGGAGACTTTTGGAGTTGAGGTTTTTTTTTGTCCTCACTTGAGGAGACTTCCTAAAAGAAAGTTTTTTTAAGAATGAGTTAAGAGTGACACATGGATCATGAGCCAAGTTGACACCACTACTCTTAGTTCATATTCTCATTTAACTAACTTGGAAAGAATGAGAACCATAAATCAAATAATGCCTATAGGATTTCAGTCCTTAGGATTATAATTATAAAAATATAACAATTGATACCCATTATTTAAGTATTTTAACTAGCAAATAGATTATAAATTCACTGATTGACATATCTTAGAGATCCAAATGACACAATTATAATCCATTAATATTTTGGGATACCATATGCAAAAATCACTTTTTAGAATAATTTATTATGGTAGTTATAATCCACCCATCATAATATGTGATTCAATGGTAGAATCGTAAATACAATGAGACTTTTTATATTGTTTGGACATAAAACCGGTATAGAAAGTGACACAGTAACAATTTTGTAATAAATTAAAAATATTTTCTATATCACTGGACATAGAAATAGTATAAAAAGTAACACGAAGAAAATTTGTAATAAACTACAAAGACTTTTTATACTAGTTCACTACAAGAAAAACATAAATTATAGATAAAATAGGATCTGTTGAAAAAAGTTAATAACCAATAGATTTATTGACAAATATTTTTTGTTGACTTACCGACGAATATCCATTGGTAAATTTTAGTTACCCACAGATTTATTGACAGATGTGGCTGTACAATTAACCACAAATGTATCCGTCGGTAAAATTGTATGTGAATTTGTTGTTAAGAGAAAATCGTCTAGGAATCCTTTATTTTAAAATTTAACAAAATCATCTATCGAAATAGTGTTCATCACAAAGACGGTCTAGAATAACTCGCTAAACACTATCTGACTAAACGTTATCCTAAAAGTTATAGTAAACAATTTATTGTTTAGATCCAATGTGCCTAATCATTAGACAAATAGTTCTTTTATCTATTTTATAGTGTATGTTTATCTGTGAGGATAACGTGCTTTATTCAATGAATGTGTGTGAACCTTGCTAATTGGTTTAATATCGGTGGTAAGGGAAGTTTTCGTTTTGACTTAGATATTCTGGGTTTTTGGGATAAATTGAACATGTTAATAAAGACCGTAATATAGATTTGAAATAAATATTGTTAGTTTTGTTGAATTGGAATATATGTTTGGTAAATTTTCCAATGTCTTGGTCATTTTTCTTTTCTTTGATATTATGTATATTTAATTTGGGAAGTATCTTGAAAAAATTATGATGACCAGAACCATGATGGAATTGTTCTGTGAGTGAATCATGGTTGTTTGGTTAAAAATATTGCAGAAAAATATTGGTTGTTTGGTTAAAAGGGCTACATAAAATTACTGGTTGTTTGATTAAAATTTTGCACTAGAAGCTTAGTTGTTTGACTGTTAAATTCTGCACCAAAGTCTTGCTGTATTGCACTAATTAGACTGTTAACTATTGGCGTGAAAATGCTTGTTGTCCTGCACTGATTTTAGGCTAACTTTTGCATTAAAACTAGTTGTTGTTTTACTCTAAAGGAGGAATAAAAACTTCTTGCTATTTTTACTAGAAAAAAATGTGCATGAAACCTTGTTGTTTTTTGCTGTAAAACGTGCATGAGACTTTTATTGTTTTTGGTAAAAGATTAAAGTATCTATGGCTGTTAATACTTTACAATTGATTAATGAAGTAAAGTTTTGAATTTTGGTCACTGTGAAATTATAAATTAATTTTGAAAATGGGTTAATTGATGAAGGTATATATTATTGTTTCTGTTTTGTGTATATTGCTCCTTAAAGCAATAATATGTTTTTAGGGTTTTTGTTGGTTCTGTTAGATTGTGAATTTGTTTTGTTTTTGTTAGGGTTTTTGACAAATCTCGTTTCTCTCTTCTCTTTTTACTGGAACCCTATATATCTAGGGTTCCTATGCTTTCTTTTGCAACATAAAATCACCACACTACTGAAATAATGAAAGTTCAAGTATTTTCTTACCTTTAGTTGTTGCTTTTCCCGATTTGTTCTTCCTTCTTCTTCTTCTTACATACGCCAAGCTTGAGCGTTATCATGGAGACCTCATGCGCTTTCTTTCTCTCACAGACCAACCTCACTTCACTTCTCAAGAGAGCCTGACTCGAGAAGCTTCGAATGAGACTTTTGTCTCTCGTGTCGTGGGCCATCCGCTTTGGGCCTCTATTATAATAACAGTAGGCCTTATTTTAATATGGTACCATAGTTGGTCCTGTACTTGCTTTGACTCTGCCTCTGCTACGTCGAATTTTCTTGTTTTCTTGGTGCTAATCCTTTCTTTTAGTTTTTCTTATTATCATGGAGAACATAGATCAACTCAACAATCCTTCTAGCCTCTTCTATCTTCATCCTGGAGAGAACCCATGTATCTCCCTTATTTCTCAAGTTCTTAATGAATCCAATTATACTTCTTGGAGCAGAAATATGAGAAGAACTATTTTCTCCAAAAACAAGTTAAAGTTCATAGACAGAGGGATCAAGAAACCTCAAAGAGATTATCCTCGTTTTGATTCTTGGGAGAGGAGCAATATGATGGTGTTGTCCTAGACCATCAAGACCCTTTCATCCCAAATAGATGAAAGTGTTATATATGTGGAGGATGCTCAAGAACTATGGGAATAATTGAAATAAAGGTTTTCCAAAGGAGATTACTTCAAGTTTTATTACTTACTTCAAGAAATCCATTCCATTAAGCAAGGAGAAAGGAGCGTGAGTCAATATTTTACAGATTTGAAAATCCTATGGGAAGAATTGGAATTTCTTAGACCCATTTTGTGCTGTAGTTGCAAGATTCCTTGCAGCTGTGACTTGTCTAAGGTTTCTCATAAATACAAAGAAATGAAACATGTTATTTGGTTCTTGAAAGGTCTAAATGAATGCTATAATACTGTGAGAAAAAAAATATTATTAATGGAACCTCTATCCAATATCAATCGTGTCTTTTCCCTCCTTATGTAGCAAGAAAGGCAAGAAAAGCATCACTATGGCCTCACTAATCAAAATGAAATCAAGGTTTTGGCCAACACCACTGAAAGACAGAATCAGTGGAAGAATGAGCAAAATATGAAGGCTCATGGACGTGGTTCTGGATCTCGTAGCCAAGGGAGAGAGAGAGAGGAAGAAATCCCAATTATGGGAAACAATGTTCTTACTGCCACAAAATGAACCACATAGTTGATGAGTGCTACTCTAAGCATAGTTACCCACCATGGTACAAGAAGAATGACAATAATAGTCAAGATAAGGTGGGACAAAGTGTATGAGGTTCTGCCAACGCCTGCTCTGCCTCTACTGAATCACAAACCAGCCAATAGAATAGCATCAATTTTGTACAAAATTCTTTCACCCCAGAACAGATGCAGAAACTATTGCAAATAATAGAAAAGGTTGACAATCATTCTCATAGCATTAGCCAAATACATAAAGACACTACAGAGGATAGACAAGGTATGTTTTCCTGGATTATAGACACAAAATGGCCTCTAATCATGTGAACCATGACAAGAATCAGTTCATTACATTCTATAAAATCAAACCTATATCTGTTTGATTACCAAACAATTCCATTGTCACAGCCCACTATGTAGGAACCATATAACTTTCTAAAGATTTCATTATCTTTAATGTTTTATACATACTTGACTTTAATTTCAACCTTATATTTGTCCAAAGTTTGATTAGAGATATAAACTGCACACTAACTTTTTCCTCTAAGATGTGTCAAATTCAGGACAACTCTACATTGAAGATGATTAGATGTGCTAATGTGTACAAGGGGCTATACTACCTGCAATCTTTTGGAAGAAATCTCACACCTAGTTTTGTTTTCTCTTATGAGCATATAAATATAAACTTGTGGCATTATAGGCTTAGCCATCCTGGACACAAAATTGTTGAAAAGATATGCAAGACCTTTCCTTATGTTCAAACTACTTCTAATGATGCTTGTGACATATGTCATTATGCAAAACAACACAAATTGCCATTTTCTAAGAGTAATTTTTTGTCTGCTAAATGTTTTGATATCAGATATTGTGATATATGGGGTCCTATCTCCATCCCATTTGTCCATGGATATAAATATTTTCTCACTATTATTAATGATTGTAGTGGACATACTTGGGCCTTTCTTATGCATAATAAAAGTCAGACTAGAGAATTACTGCAGACCTTTATTTTGAAAATTAAGACTCATTTGATAAAACTGTTAAAATCATTAGGATTGACAATGAACTTGAATTTAATTGTTCCAACATATATGATTCTTATGGCATTGAACATCAAAGAAGCTATGTTGAAACTCCACAATAAAATTTTGTTGTGGAACGTAAGCACCAACATATATTGAATATAACTTGTAGCTTACTCTTTCAATCTAACATTCCCTATGCTTATTGGTCTTATGCCTTATCTCATGCCATATACCTGATAAATAGATTTCATTTTCCTGTTATTAAAGATAAAACTCCTTATGATGTGCTTCACAATAATCCTCCTAATTTTCTTAACCTAAAAGTTTTTAGTTGCTTGTGTTTTGCTTCTACTTTAGAAAGTAACAGAAATAAGCTTGACTCTAGAGCTAGAAAGGGTATTTTTCTAGGCTACAAAAACGGAGTGAAGGGTTACATTATTCTTGACATCAACACTAGGGAAATCTTCATTAATAGAAATGTTATCTTTTATGAAGACATTTTTCCCAACAAAAATGAGCAAAACAATAAAGATAATTGTAATGATAGTGAAGACAACATATTTTTTCTTGATAATCTATCCTACAGCTATGAGAAGAACTTGGTTAAGGGTAGAAGAAATGATCAAACCCTTGTTGAGAACACCAATATAAGTACTAATAACACTGATCGCATAAGAGAAGAAGAAGGAAACAATCAAAGGAGGTCAAACAGAGTTAAGAAAACTCCTGAGTACTTAAAGGACTACATACATCAAGCTGATCAGTCCTCATCTACATCTTTGTGCATCAAAAACAATTTTAAAACTCCTTATCCTATCACTGATATCTATCTTATGAATCTTTATCTGATAAGCACTTAAAATACACCCTTGCCATAACTGTTAGCAAAGAACCCAACTCCTATGATGAGGCTAGAAATAGTCTTGAATGGGCTGATGCTATGTAGAAGGAAATTAAGGCCCTACAAGACAATGGTACCTAGTTTTTAACCTAACTCCCACCTGGAAAGAAATCCATTGGGTGTAGATGGGTTTATAAGGTCAAACATAAAGCTGATGGTACTATGGAAAGGTATAAAGCCCGATTGGTAGCCAAAGGCTACACCCAACAAGAGGGAATACATTTTTTAGATACTTTTTCACCTGTTGCTAAGCTTACTTTTGTCATATTTTTACTTGCTCTTGCTGCCTCAAGGAACTAGTTTCTACATCAACTTGATGTTGATAATGTCTTCTTACATGGGGACCTAAATAAGGATGTTTACATAGATCCTCCACCTGGTTTAAATACTAACACTAAAGGACAGGTTTGCAAAATGACTAAATCTCTCTATGGCCTGAAACAAGCTAGCAGGCAATGGTTTGACAAACTATCCACCTTCCTTATTTCTGATAATTATGTTCAATCCAAGTTTGATCATTCTCTTTTTATCAAGAAAACTTCCACAGATTTCACAGCCTTACTTGTGTATGTAGATGACATTGTTTTAACAAGAAACTCTATGAGTGAGATTACCCACATAAAGACTCTTCTGCACCATCAGTTTCAGATAAAAGATCTGGGAGAACTCAAATACTTTCTAGAATTTGAGGTTGCTAGGTCTAAAAAGGGTATACACCTTTGTCAAAGAAAGTATGCTCTTGACATCCTTGAAGAAACAGGAATGCTGGGAAGCAAGCCATGCTCTACACCCTTTTTAAGCAACACTAATTTCTTATACAAAACAGAGAATTATCTAGATAATCCAAGTGCTTATCGTAGATTGATAAGGAAGCTCTTTTATCTTACTAATACTAGATCTGATTTGTGTTTTACTGTCAATCTTTTAAGTCAGTTTATGCAGGAACCAACCAAGCATCATTATCAGGCTTTGCAACATATTCTTAGATATGTCAAATTCAGTCCTTCAGAAGGGCTCTTCTTTGCTGCTGATTCTGACATACAAATCAAGGGATTTAGTGATTCAGATTGGGTCACTTGCCCTAACACAAGAAGATCTACCTCTGGTTATTGCACTTTTCTAGGTTCCTTCCTTGTCTCATGGAAATCAAAGAAGCAAAGCACTATCTCCAGGTCATCTACTGAAGCGAAGTTTCATGCCCTAGCTGCCACTGTAAATGAAATATAGTGGCTTCACTATCTATTTCAAGATCTTTGGGTTCAACCTACTACTACAGTTGTTCTTTATTGTGACAACAACTCCGCCAAGCACATCGCTCATGAGCGGACCAAACACATCGAGTTGGATTGTCATGTGGTGCGTGAGAAGATCCCAGCGAAACTTCTACGCCTTTTCCCTATTCGATCAGAAGAACAACCCATCAACATCTTCACTAAGTTTCCTCACCGTACTCGTTTCAGATCTATCATCCCCAAGCTTGGATTAGTGAATATCCACCATCCAACTTGAGGGGAGGCTATTAATGTTTCTATTTTGTGTATATTTCTCCTTAGAGCAATAATCTATTTTAGGGTTTTTGTTGTTTCTGTTAGATTGTGAATTTGTTTTGTTTCTGTTAGGGTTTTTGACAAATTCGGTTTCTTTGTTTTTGTGTGTGTTTGTGCAATGATCGTATAACATATGTGTTATATGGGAGCATAAATAAGAATGCAAATGTTGATGGAGCAATATGATTGACGAGAGAGGGGTTTGCAAATGAGAATTCTTATTAACGAGAAAGGGGTTTGCAAATGTGAATTCTTAATGAGAGGGGTTTGCAAATGAGAATTTTATTTACTTTATGTAAACGGTTAAGGATTGTATTAAACATATTATTTTTCTTGTTAAGTCTGAATAATCAAATTTTTAAGTTGTAATAGTTTTATTTATATGGAAAAGTTTTATTTATGAGGAATTTCAACAAAAAAGTTTTTAGTCTCTGACATTTTTCGTGACATCTAAATTTGAGGTGTTACAAAATGCATGTTTGCGAATCCAACTGATGATAAAAACCTTAGATGGCATGTTGATGAGTGAAAATGTGATGGACTACTTCATCATCCTACAAATTTTGTGTAATGGAAAAACATTGGTAAATATAATTTCTTACATTTGGAAATTAATCAAGAAATTTAAGGGTTGGACTAGCTACAAATGGAATGAATCCTTATGAAAATTTAGGTATCAATCATAGTTCATGGCATATTTTGCTAGTGATTTATAACTTACCTCCATGTTATGTATGAAGAAAAAGTACACGATATTATCCATGATGATTTATAATTATATCATTCATTTATTTTTTGTATTATCATTTAATTTATCTAAATAGTTTTATTAACAGTGTAGTGCAATAAACAAACTAATAGCTATTAGTATGATTATTATATCATACAATGGATGACAACCATTGTGCAAGTCGGTTATTAAAGTGATTGAGATTATGTAATTATGATGTATATAACTCACTATTAACTTTCATATGTACTAATTTTAACTTCAACTAACTTTTGCATAATTTCAAAAACTCAAGTCAAATGAATTCAAATGAATTTCAAAAACATTAACTTTTTGAACTATCTTAATGTATTTGAGTGGAATTTTTTGATAGGTTTGCGATAATGTGAAATTATAAATAGTACTTCTAAAGAAAACTTTTTTTTAACAACAATCCATACTACATCCGTAGTTATATAACTTATTCAACGACAATTGTGGTTAAACTTGTCATGTTTTATTAAATCTAAATTTTTTGTTTTTTTTTTAAATATTATACATTATTGATGATAGGTAAACCAACCATCATTGTTTTTCCTAAACTTTTAACGACGATTGTTTCAACGACAAGTCAAAAGCTATGGTAAAAAGCCTATTTTAATCATCGTCAAAAGCCATATCTATAGTAGTGTTATACTACCACTTATCTTCCTTGAATAGAACACTTGCTTTCATTTTTAAGGTATTGCTACTTCTTCATCCAATAAAGACCTGATAGAACTTTTGATCCTATATTTGTGACATTTGACTTCATATTTTTCCTTTATTTGATTTTAACTCAATGTGGTTCCTTTTATAAGATTAACATTAACATTGTTTAAGAGATGATGAACTGGCATATGCTAATAGAATATATTTTTTTCACGCATTTATTGTTCAATTCTAAGAAGAAAATGAGAAAAATGGTATTAAGGATGATCTAACGAAAACAATCACATTAATTAAGTCTTTTTAAAAATAAAGAAAAATAAATAAATAGAAGAAAAATATTAAATTATTGCTATAAATATATGGATAAAAAATGTTATTAAATCTACTATAAATAACCAAAATATTAGAGAAGTAGATGTGGAAACTAATGTTTTTGTATATAGTGAACCTTTTAATGTGCTTTTGACTCGTTAAATATTATAAACTTTTAAGACTTTGAGTGCAAACAATTGAATGTTCGAAGTCCCATATAGATTATAGATAAGACCAATTCATAGTTTATAAATGGGTGCAAACCTTACCCTATAAGTCGGTTTTATGGGGTTGAGTTAGATTCAAAGTCCACTTCTAACATTTGAATGAATATTATTGAAGAATACTTTTTTTTTCAAAATATATAAACACAAGTACATTAATTTGTGCATTTAGAATATTAAATGCAAAACAACAATTTTACCATATCATGCATCAAATGATTGGCATGACGAGTTCTAACAATTTTTGTATGCACATTCTATTAAACATGCAAATGCAAGGTTTTTACTTGCATACAAATGTTAATTCTTACTATATGATTACCGGATATATAATAGATCTATCCTAACCAGTAAAAACATGTGTATGCGAGTACTTCAGGATATAAATCAGGACAACCAATGAGCATACCATGATGCTGTCTATTTTCATTTTGTGGAAAGTCCCCGACAAAGGAAAGGCTGATAGGTGACGATGCGCTCCGCTTCTTAAACTAAATTTGTTGAAATCGTTCGGGTTATACGACAACTAGTGTAAAAGAAAATTTTCCTTATATAATAATATAAATAATTAAATTAGTCCCAAAAATATTGCTTTATTTAACTTGGATCTAATATCAAATCAACATAAAACATCGCTTATTTAGCAATTGTTGTTAGATATTGATATTACATTAACAATGTGATATAGAAATATGTTTTATTTAATTATCACATCATTACTTTTAACCCAATCATGTTTATACAAAGTGAAATAATAATTATGCATTAAATAATTGAAAATTTAGTTAAATGCTCATAAATAACTATTTTTTTCACGTTCAATGAGATATAGAAAAGATGTTAGCGTAATGGAAAAAGGAAAATAGGGGAAAAATACTATTATGAGAGGATAAAAAAGTTTGGGAGTAATGAAAGATATGAGATTGTTTGATATTGTAACTACAAGAAGCTATATGAAATTCATGGAAAAAAAGTTTAAAATAATTTATTTAGTTTCGTATATTTTTAAAACCAACAAGTCTTTATAAATAATTAGTGGAAACATATATATGCTTGAATATGTATATTTACTTTTTTTTTTATTATCATAGTAGTTATTTAAATTTAAGAAAACATTTATTAAAAAGATAAAACTGAAAATATAATCGTGGACACTAAAATGGAAAATTTTCTTTTTTTAATAATATCGATAAAGATCTTAATTGAATATTTTCCTATTTGACTTTTTATTAAGAAAATCTAATTATGTCAAAACTTTCAAATCATTTAAAATCATGATTGAATATTTTAAAATTCTTTTTATAAAAGCACAATCTTTAAACATCTATTTTTGAAAACCCTAACGCTAGTCCAATATCCAATACCCTAAAATTGAGAATGTCAGCATTTTTAATATTTATCCTCTCAAATCAATCTAATAAAGAAAATAATTTGTTTCTATCTTTCCATCCCTCAACACCTTCCTTTCATTTTCTACTGTTTTCTAATGGCACAAAACTTAATAACGATCAAAGAACCTATGTTTTCAGAGGAAAAGAAAATTCAACCCAAAATCCTATCTGCTGCAAACTAAAAGACACCATACACAAGAAGATCAAGAACAATAGGGCACAAAGAGCACAACCATCATTTTGTGTCATTTTTTAATCATATTACCAACCAAGACATGAATCATATACGGGGTTAGATGACGTATGAGGTTCGTGATAAAACCCCAACAAAGTCAACACATCGTTAACTAATCCTAAAACCTTGGATTTCTGAACATCAAAAGAAAAAGACATTATGGAAAGAAACAAAATTCACTTGAATCTTCACGTTTCAAAAGAAACTAGTCTGCAACTATTTCTAAAACTGGTATGTGCCAATGGGGGTGAAAACAGGCATAACCGCAAACAGTTTTTTTCGATTGAAGCAACTGGGTTGAGCATGATACATGGGATGATCAAAGCAAGGAACCCCATTATCTTGGTTGAGTGACGGATCCTGTTGAAAGGTAGAAGATGGTATTATTGAAATTGCAGAAGAAATCTGGGTGGAACTTCGATTGTGTGTGATCTTGGAGTCTCTCATTTTGACAAGGGTTCCTGGTACTATGTATTTGGAACATCTTCTTGTTCTTCTTTCTGCAGAAGATGAACCTGCATTTGATTTTGGGTTCCCTGTTTCAGTCATGTAGTAACTGAGAAAATTGAGAATTGAGAATTCAGAAAATAAGTTTTTGTACGGGGTAAATTTTAAAGGTATTTTAAATTTGAGGGTTTGTTTGCCTTTCATTGCATTGATTATATTCCTTCCTCAATCAAACCCCTACCGAATCACTACATTCTTAAACGATATTTTAGAATTCAATTTTGACACAGTAATTTCATCTATAATATTAATTAGTAAAATATATTTTTTTGTACACAAAATCTTATTATTTTATCTTTAATTAATATTTTTAAAACTAAAATAACTATTTGTAATAAAACAAAAATATTTATCACAAAGCTTTTGTATGACTACTTTTTATAATTTTTTATAGTTTAATAATATATTTATTTTAATAATTATTATAGTAACATTTAATAATTATTTTAATAAACTAGACTATGTGACCTAATGGTAAAATTAGAAAACATTTTGAATTCTTCAAACCTTTTCACCAACTATGAACATTATTTAGAGGTTCTTGTTAGGATATGTAATTGAACACCAAAGACTCGCCCAAGACACCAAACA